AATACCTAATGTAGATGATGGGTTGATGGGTGCAGCAAACCACTATGGCACGTGTGTACCTATGTAACAAACCTGCATATTCTGCACATGCATCCCAGAAGTATAATTTTTTAAAAAATGCCACCAATCAAAGTTAGTCCAGTGGAAAAAGAAAGAAAGAGAAAAAGAATATACCACCCAGAAATATATAGCTGGACAGAGCTGCAGCAAAGGTAACTATGGGGATATAACCCAGGAATGTCCATGGCGGGTAGGGTGCCATCAATCACACATCAGTTCCGTAGAGGTAGAGCCACTTTTAATACCATCCTAGACAGATTTTGTCATCCAGAGCGGAGATGGGGGTCCTTTCTGAGGAAGGAGAAGAGTCTTTCACTATGACAATAAAAGGATAAGATTCCCAAATGAGTACTGGTGGTAAGGAGGAAAAAGTTGATGTTGCAAATCAGCCTAGGTTGGACCTTGTGACTCACTGGTTAGAGAAAGAAGAGTACAGTTTTCTGAGTTGATTTACTCAAAAGAGTGTCATCACTAAGAGGGATACTATAAAAAAGTTAAAATATGGTGAGAAGATAAAGAGCTCCATTTTAGACACTTTAAGTTCAAAATGCCTATGAGACAGACATCCAAGTGGGATTTTCCAGAAGACAGTTTTGTAGCATCAGTTTGGTGTTAGGAGAGCTCCAGGCTTGGTAGTCATGTGCCTAGAGGTGGTAGGCTAAGTTTTGTAAGTGACTGAGATCACTTAGTAGGAAGAGGCTTTAACCAGGGGAAAAAATGTGTCAGGGACAGACTTCCCAAAACACCAGCCTTTTTTACATGATGGACGGAAAAAAGAGGAAGCAGAGATGATAGGTGGAGAAGACCTGTAAAGAACAACATTATAAGGAAAGAGGTTCTGAAGGGAACTTTCAGCAGGGCTACAGGCTCCCATTAGATCAAACTAAAGAGTCTATTAGCATTGGCAATTAGGATCCCTTACCTATTGGAGAAGTCATACAGTGGTGAAATAGGAAGTGAAAAGAAATGCATCCAATTTAGAGAGGGAAAAGGATGTAAGGAAGAATGAATCAGCAAGTAACCCTGCACCATCCAATATGGTAGACACTAGGTGAAAATATTTATGTTTTGAATATAAATTAATTCAAAGTAAAAAATTAAAAATTAAGTTTCTCAGGTACACTAGCCATTTACAAAGCACTCAGCCCCATATGTCTGTCTGGCAGCTATTAGGTTGGACAGTGCAGACATAGATTACATCCATTATCACAGAAAGTTCTTTTGGACAGTGTTGGAGCTTGTAAATGAAGAAAGAAGATGGAAAAGCCTGAAGGGTATGTTATGTCAGAGGAGGGTCTCTCCCCACCTCCACAACAACTCAAGCCCTAAGTGAGTGTATGTATAGCCTGTGAGTCAGATATGAGGTAAAGAAGTTGTATTTATTAATAGAAAAGAAAAGAGAGAAGACAGGAGAGGCTTTAGGGAGTGCTGGAGGAATGGCATTCAGAACAGTGGAGTAGAGAGACTTCTTTTTCCCAAAATATGCTAAAAGACACGTAGAAAGTACAGATACAGCCTCCTTTGGCAAAGCCAGGAACCAGTTAGCTGTAGTAGCCACAGTGACTTATTAAGAAAATAGAGGGCTAGAAACCTAAAAGGGTTTTTTGTTTGTTTGTTTGTTTTGAGACTGAGTCTCGCTCTGTCTCCCAGGCTAGAGTGCAGTGATGCTATCTCGGCTCACTGGAACCTCCACCTCTGGGGTTCAAGCAGTTCTCGTGCATGTCTCCTAAGTAGCTGGGATTGCGGGTGCCCGCCACCAACCTGGCTAATTTTTGTATTTTTAGTAGAGATGGAGTTTTACCATGTAGGCCAGGCTAGTCTCAAACTCCTAACCTCAAGTAATCCGCCCGCCTTGGCCTCCCAAAGTGCTGGGATTACAGGCATGAGCCACCACGCCCGGCCCTAAAAGGGCTTTTTGTTTTCTGTTATGAAAATCCAGATGCTCGACTACGAAAAAGGAGCTGATTTTTAAAATATTAGGTAAACCACAGGTTGAAGCAGATACATGTTGCAATTAGTTTGTTTTTTCAGTTAGTAATTATAATAGCTATAATTTAGTGACACCTACTTTATGATATGCACTGGACTGGGTATTTTAATATTAACTGCCTTCTTTAAATCTACAAAATAATTTCTAAAGGTTGTTGTCACTATATTTATTAGGTTAAGTAGAATTTACTTAAAGGTACAAAGTAGAACTTACTTAGAGGCACAGAAATAGGGTTTGATGTATATTTGAATTGAGGAGTTGCCATACAGGGGAAGACCAGAGTGCTATAGGTGCACCCAGCAGAGACCCCTGAGTTGAATTGTCAAGGAAGACTTTTTTGATGTGACATTTAAGATCTGAAAGTTGAGGAGCTAGTTTATTAGTGGGGAGGGAGTAGTCCAGGCAGAAGCAACAACATCTTCTTAGACTGGATATTCAAGGAAATGAAAAGCCAATATGAGTGGAACATCAACTGAAAAGAAAAAGGAAATGTCGAGAGATGACACAGGGGTCAGGACCACCAACTTGCTTTACTTATGTTCTACTCTGTTATATTCATTAGATGTATTTTCTAAATAAACATCTTAATGTGACTAAGAAAACTGGTTGATATTTCAGGATTCCATATGATATCCAGTACACTAGAAGAGGAAAAAACTCTTTCCGATTTGCGCATAGGAATGTAAGAGATAGCCATCTAGTGGTCTGTCTCTCTCATGTAAGGAGATGTTTGTAGAGATTCTGCTCTGAAACTTTGTTCTGGCAAGGCCTGTGCAACTGTGTGCAGCCAAGCCTGTTACATTATTTTAACAATTTTTGCTTTCCTAACCCAGTGACAATTTTAAATGATAAATTCACATGAACTGGAATGCCCTACCTTTGATATTTTATCACAGCTTTTAGATTCTCTCTTGCCAACCTGAATGACTGTGCATAGTTCTGAACCTGTCTTCCTCCATCAAGACTACCCGAAACACAGAGGTTGCCGTGAGCCATGATCACACGCCACTGTACTCCAGCCTGAGTGAGAGAGAGAGACCCTGTCTCAATAACAATAATAACTTAAACGTATGGATTCAAGTTTTTATTTAATTTTAATTTAATTTTATTTTTTATTTTTATTTTTGAGACTGGGTCTGTCTCTGTCACTCAGGCTGGAGTACAGTGGTGTGATCATAGCTCACTGCAGCCTTGAACTCCTGAGCTCAAGCAGTCCTCCCACTTTAGCCTCCCAAGTGGTGAGGACTATAATTGAATGCCACAACACCCAGCTAATTTTTTTATTTCTTAAAGAGATGGGGTCTCACTCTGGTGCCCAGGCAGATCTTGAACTCCTGGGCTCAAGCGATCCTCCTGCCTGGGCCTCTCAAAGTGCTGGGATTACAAATGTAAGCCTCCACTCCCAGCCTCAAGTTTTTAAATAATGGCTTATCTTTCCCTGAAATACTCTTGTATTTTATTTCCTAAATAAGACGTTTCATTGTATAAGCATATGAAACTATTTATATTTAATGTGTGGTACATGAGAATTTAGCAGTAATGTACTGTATTAATTTTTCTTCTGTGAGGCAGAAAGCCACTGTGCCCTAATAGATTTGGTTGACTTACAATTTGCTTTGTTCATTTTACTGAGATTGGCCCTATTACTTGGTAATTATTTTCTGACTGAAGATTTCACCTGGGATAAGCTGATTTCACTGGCAAGAATTGAAAACCTACTTTGAAACATTAAACCAAGGCTACTTATAAACATGACAGAATCTCTTAGCATCATTTTGAAAAGACTTCATCTCCCCTTGCACCACCTTCTTAATAATATATTCTTCAGTGAAATACATCATGGCTAAACCAGTTATCATTTTCATTTCCTAACAGTCATGAAAAGAGATTTTATAAATGTTTTCTAATTGTGCTGTAAATGTAATTAAAATGTAAGCAACAGGACTCCATAGTCATAAGTAATTTCTTCATTAGCAGCACTTAGTATAGGATGAGGAAAAGGAAGAATTGGTGGTTGCCCTTGGGTTTGGTGTAGGAGAGCAGATTTGTGTTTTCATTGAGAATATGTTTACCATTCACACAGTTGATATAAATGGATTAGAAGTCATCGTGGGAATGATGAGGATTAAAATACTTCATGAACTTTCTGTAGTCATATTTTGTGTATGTGATAATATTTTATAAATAATTTGCTTTCATGGAATTGGCGTCTCATACCCAAGTTTACTCCTTAATACAGGAAGGCATAAAATACATTTTAGTGATGAATCACCCTAATGATATCAGTTTATTAAAATCTTTTCCTTTGTTTGAAGCTGATTTAAAAGTATTCTTTGCTCAAAAAATTATTTTTCTCACTTGCTCATTTTTTTGTTTAAGAGGAACAACTAGAGTTACTTATAGTAGCACTGCTAACAAAATAATAATAAAATTTAGGTTTCCCAATTGTCAAATGGATACACATTTACTTGTGTTTTACAGGAAATGTATATTTCCTGCTTGAGAAATGTATATTTTGTTTCTTATGGCTTACACTTTAATAAGTTTTTTAAGACAACTGCAAAGAGTTTGTTGTGCGGGTAGCTGTTATCTACTATAGCTATTGATGATATTTTAGAAATCTGATGAGCTCTTAATTTCCATATCAATTAAACTATACTGTGCAAACCATTTATTGAAATGTGCCATGCAATTACATAAGCATTATTTTTTCCTACTAATATGTCAATAGATATTATAACATAAAGAAATAGATGTTTTTGAAATAAAGTATTTCACTGGTCTAGGAATTTTTCTTTTTTTTTTTCCCTCCTATGCTTAAAAGTCTGAGTGCAAACTTCTCTCTTGTTTATTATGAGAAATGAGTAGATATTTTTTAAAGCACCAAATTTTGTAAATTTTGCAATCTTATCTACCCTCCACGCCCTTATCTCTTCTCTTTTTTCCACAGGTGATTTCTATTCACTACTTTCCAAGCTGCTAGGAGAAAGGGAAGATGTTGTTCATGTGCACAAATATAATCCTACAGAAAAGGCAGAATCAGAGTCAGACCTGGTAGCCGAGATTGCAAATGTAGTCCAAAAAAAGGATCTTGGTCGGTCTGACGCCAGAGAGGGTGCAGAACATGAGAGGGGTAATGCTATTCTTGTCAGAGACAGAATTCACAAATTCCACAGACTAGTATCTACCTTGAGGCCACCAGAGAGCAGAGTTTCCTCATTACAGCAGCCCCTACCTGGTGAAGGCACCTGGGAACCAGAACACACAGGAGGTGCGTGTAGGGTTTCTTTTAAGCAATAAAGTGTGAAATGCTACACTCCACGTTAGCAAAACCTGAAGGGAATAAGAATTAATGGGTGAAAAAATTCATCAATGAAAAGGACTTATTGCCATTAGAAAAAATATTACTCAGATTTGGGCTATCAGATACCACCTTTGAAGATTTTTTTTTTGTTTTGGTTTTGGTCTATTACTGCATAAATTTAGTGTCTGTTCTATTGGTGAGCCAGAACTACAAGGACCAAAAGATATTTGGATATTTGGATCATTTGGGGAAATGCGGCATATGAAATTCAGGATAAAAATTCTTACAATTGAATATTTTTCATTTTGCTCAATGGAAATACATTGAAAATTCAAAACCTGATATGTAAAGTCCCAGTGTAAGAAATGCTCATATACTATCTCCTTGTAAGGTAATAAAATTCCTCTCAAAAGAATCTTACACTTTCAACATTCTCATCCAGTCGACTTGTAAAATATAACCATTTTATGATTTTGATTTTTTAAGTTTCATTATCGATTAAAATCTTAATTGGAAAGTTGAGTATTTCTGAAGGGACCTCTGGTAAATCCATAACTATCAGATTTATCTTTATTTTTATCCCAAATAGGCTTCCATAAGTAGAGGAGAATACTTTATTCCCTTCAGGTTTCCGTACCAGCAAGCTATGGATGCCTCATCTTTGTCTTTAATTGTGTTGTGGCCTCTGTGATATTGATTGTGCTTCATGTTACTTGCTAATGTGGAAAGCCAGATAATACAGCATGTGGAGATAATCTCAAAAAAGTAATGGATATGCGTGCATGGCAGCTGTCCATGTGTGGGTTGGAATGGCACAGGCTGCCAGCTTGATGTTTTCAAATTCAGCTTTGTAGGAAGCCATAAATTATTCAACACCCAGCTGATTTTTATTTATAATTGAAAAAAAAAAATAGCATGCAGTGCCTTTTGCTCACATGAGAGTTTCAAAACAGTCCATTGGTACTGGCATAATGGTTTCTATGAGATGTAAACTGGAACCTGGATTTTTAACTTTTTGTGTTTAAACAGGATCAGCCCTGCTGTAGCTCATTCTGGATCTGTCGAATAAAACTGTGTTTCTCATGAGGTGGTCCCTGGACCTCCTTGCCTCAGAATCACCTAGGGTGTGTAAGAAAAATTTAAGACCCCTGAATCCTATCAAAGAACAACTGAATCAGCATCTCTGAGTATAATGCCTAGAAATTTACAGTTTATCATGCCCCTATCCATTTCAAAACACACAGGAATGTTTGCCTGAACTTATATTTTAAGGACAGTGAATTGTAACCCAGACAACATGGAAACATAAAAGGGAAAAGAGCCTCTTTGGTGGGAAACAATTGTGTTCATGTATGAAATATGAGTTGCAGCATACTTTATTTATTCCATGATTTGTCTTTGTTATTCTTGGATTTGAAATGATATCTTGGTCACTTTTAGGCATCAAGAGTGTCAAGGTCACAGTCAGAATTTGACTTAAGATATCGCATTTCTGAAACTTACTGTTTTTCTATGAAATAAGCCCTTAAAATACCCAAGTGCATATACTTAGCAAATATCCTCATACTTTCCAAAGTGGTCAAATGGTAGTGCTCAAGAGAAAAATGCTTCTCTAGGATCTGTTTTAGGGAAATTTCCTTCCTGTGAATGTCACTGAAGTGAATAACAATGAGTCATAGGAACATATAGCACAACAGCAAATTAAGAAAGGAACATGTATTTCCTTTCTAAAATGATTTGATGTAATTTCACTACTCTAATTATGAAAACTTTTAAAAAATAAAATGCAAAACAAAAACTCATATTTAGGTAAGCTATTTATAAAAGGCTTTTTCTTAATTCTCTTTCACCATTTACTACAATGCAGTATAATATCTAACTTTAATTGATGCTGTTTCATTCCTTTGGGTAAGCTAGAGGAAAACCTATCCTCGGGAAGCTTCCATTTTGCAAAAAAATAAAGTAGGAAGTCATTAGCATATAGGGCCCTAATAAAACTTATTAGCAATCTCATTAATGTCTAGTCCTCAGGGTATAGTCAAGGAGAAGAAATTTGATATATAATCTTCCACTGTTTCTTTCATACCCTTTCTTTACTCCAGGCAAAGCTGAGAATGAGCCTAATGGTCTGGAGGAATTAACTGTTTCCCTAAGTGCCTAATTTGCAATAAGGAATTATATTTGTTGCACAGAAGAAAGTAATTTTTATATGAGATTATTATAAAAACAAAAATGTCAGGCTGGTCTGTTGCTTAATATTATAGCGCATATTTATTTCAGATATCTTTGACATCTGTTGTTAATTTTCAAATAAGAAGCTGAAGCCAGAAGTTAATCTATTTGGATGAGGTCACAGATCTAAATCTAAAACTTGGACTTTATTATTTCCAGTGTACATCTTCTAGTTTCTTACATTTCAATACAACTGTGCTCAAAGAGATGCTAATGTGCTTGCCCAGTTCAGATAAACTTCCCAGGAACACTGGACCCTCATGGCTTAGAAGATGGAGCTATTTCTATTCAGAACCCTGTTCTGATGTCCCCAGTTGTTGACACCAGCATAATCTAATACAATGGTGTTTTCTGTGGCAGTATTTTAGATTTCATCAGTTTGTCTATATGCTGGAACTGTAATATGTTGATGAAGCCCATCCAGTTGACCTGAGGGTTCAAAGGTGAAATTAACAGATCAGCTCAAAAATCTGGTTGTGACTATATGGCAGGCCTAGGAACACCTGAGGGTTTCAAAAACATACTATTTTCTGAACCTTTAGTTTGGTCAGGATTCCACTTGTTTTCCACCTTGGCATCTGCGTTTAAAACTGGGTTCTCCACCTCAGTATGGGCTGGATATCAGTGGTCACCAAGCTGCATGAAGAACACAATAGAATGATATCTGCTGACTTTGCACAGCTGAGAAAGTCCTTATCATTCCCCAGACAAGATAGTTAAGTACTGTGTCTTATTGTATCTCTAGGACTACAAATATCTGCAAATAGCATTTTTTTTAGGTTTTATCTTCATGATTTTTGGTGAAGATGTGAAAACTCTAGACAATTGTGAAAACAGCATTAGCGACAGAAACTTCCTGGACAAGTTCAGATAGACTAGACCAGAGGTTTTCAAACTGTTGTTTGAAAGGACACCCATCAAGTAGGAGGTAATAATCACAGGCTTCTCAACATACACATGCGCACGCGTGTGCGCATGCATACACACACACACACACACACACACACACACACACAATACAGCTTCCCCAAAAGCAGTTCTGTATTTGGCCAAAATCAAATTTAGAAATTACTTCATGGAGACAGTATAATGTAGAATATTACAGGTCCACGTACCCGACTGCGTGGTGGCTTTGAATTCCAGCTATACAGTTTTCTATGTGGTCTCTAGGCAAGTATTAAAAAAAAAATCTGGGCTTTAGTTTTCTCATCTATAAAATGAGGATTATTATAGTATACTCCTCACAGAGTTCAAGTGAAGGTCAAATAATATTATACATGCAAAGTGCTTTGAACAGTGTTGGCATGCATAAAGCATTTAAAAATGTTATGATACATTAACAGTTGTGACTTACTGCTACCATTACTGTCATGTTATTATGTTTGAGATTTTTAAAAATGAAATACCAAAGTATAAATATTGATTACTTCATCTTAAGCAGCATTTATGAGACAGAGAATTTTCTTGCAGTACGCAGGAAAGCAGCAAAATTTGGCACTTTAAGCTGATAAGTTGAGAAAAAAAGTGACTTGGCAGTGTTTTATCACAATGGGAGCTTGTGGCTCTTCAAACGTGTGATCACTTACATTGATCTACCTTGATGTTTGCATGCGATATATGACATACAGTGTGAAAATGCTAACCTCAATAAACTAAGAAGCAGATGCACTTCTTTTTAAACTTGGTATAGTTTAGTTTCTATCATTAATAGTTTAGATAGAGATAGCATTAATAGAGTAGAAACAAAATCTTAGGTATCTTTATTCTATTTGCCCTCTGGAAACTAGACTCATGGAACATTTAAAAAGTAGAACTAGCTATTGAGTGGCAGATTTGATTGGACTACCACATACTTGCATGTGGAAGCCTGATTCAGTATGTATTACAAACCTCTGCATGTGAGAAAATACACCTGCATTTGTGTGACAATTCTGATCAGATAAGAGGATTCAGAAGGTGTTCAATTATTCTTATGATACATTTAGTGTTTTCTTCATTTCTATGAACAACTTATACTTAATTCCAGAGTCCATTCTTATATTTCAGTCATAGTCTTACTTCTAGGTTCAAGTCTTGCAGAATTTTCAGGGTAAAATAAACCATTCAATTGGCTGAATTTTCATCTCTGGGGGGAGGAGAATGGTTTAAAAAAACCAAAAACACATATACATAGCACTTACTTTGAGCCAAGCTTAGCGTTTTAGATGCATTGATTCATTAGAGAGGAAGAAAGTGATGAAAGGTTAAGTCACATATCCAAAATGCCACAGCTCAGGAAACCAAGATGCAAAGCCAGGCAGACTTGCTCCCAAGTCTTGCTTCTTAATCACTCTGTTATTCTGCATCTCTCTCACACCCACACATATACACAAACACCCTAGATATACAAATAGGAAGATGTTTTTTTCCCAATCATCTAATTATCTCAGGCTACAATTGTAATAACTGTAGGTATTATAGGTATATCGATAGGTCATGCTTTCTCAGTCAGTATTCAGCCAATTTTACCAAGATTAAAATCTCATTTGCAATTAAAGCAACTTGAAAAAGGAAAAGAATTTTGCTAATGTTTTTGAGCCCCTATTTATATGGTAAATCTCTTCCTCACTTCACTCCCATTAAATGAAACATTATAATTAATTCTTGTTTCCTTTCTTACTTTGGTATAAATATTTCTACAATAGTTTTAGTTAATTATAGTTATTGCTGGCACTTCTGATGAATAACAATCCCTG